TAGAGGCCTCGGTGATGACGAAATTGTCACTGCCCGAGGAAACGGAAGAAACTCTTTTCTCAACGCTTGCGTTTCCAAGATAGACGCAGCCTGCCGGTACTTGGGAAAATTACCACGCATTTTTCAGCCATCCAATACCAGCATATAATATAATAATGTAGAGTTACCGAGAGAGTGAACACCAATATTCCAGTTTGACCTTTTCTCGGCGAAAGTTTAATGGAACGTTTGTATACATCGTGTCTTCTGAATTCTCAACGCCGAATATTTCCGTAACTCCTGTTAAAGCGAAAACCGCTTGCATATCGTACATCCCCGCATGTTTCTGGCACAACTGGAAGACCAGAGGGGACGCCTATTATTAAAATGGACGTAAAGGGGAATTCAAATTGGCGAAACTTTGAGCGAGAGGAGATCCATGTAATCGCCAGCGACGCGGGGACGCGTGCACGCTGACATAGCGAGAGAGCGGCGGGAGATAAAATCCGCGACGGGATCCGTGAGGGAGAGAGGAAGCGAAGTTTCTTCGGCTGACCCGACGGAACGAGCTCGCTCACGCGTCCAATTGCACAAGCCCCGCTTTCCTCGTGACATAATATTATTTAACCCAGAATAATGCCGGCGTGCCAGGCGCTTGTTGCGCAACGCGGCCGCCGCGTGCCGGTATTTCGCGAGACTTGCGGTATGTGCGTTTGGAGCCGGGGCCCATCCCCTTCCCCCTCGATTCTTTTATTATATAAACCCGCCACCGCCGGCCTCCACGCCGCGCCCCGCGGAGCGGGGGCCCCGGCGTCTCGAAGGAGAGAAAGAGGGGTCCTCCTCGCCTCCTCCCTTTCGGTATTAGGAAGTCGAGCAAGAGGCCGCGATACCGCGAGAAAACTCGCGGCCTCCTTCGCTCTGTACTCGATTGGATCGGTTTGGCTTTAATTATAGAAACCGATTTATGTAACGTGTGCGGCGGGATCGAAACTCCGAATGATTTACCACGGAAAGAAATCTTGGAATGTGCGCGGGTAAATATCATTTTTTCCCCGCTGTTTTATTGCTTATAGCAATGGAGATAAGTTGTTTCACAAAGATCTGAAGATATATCTATTTTAATTAATACTACAATTATCTCCTGATTAATTCTTATATTTTTAAAAAATTTTTTCACGCTTTATTCAAATTATATTAGGAGTCTTAAGAAAATTTAAAATGTATCAATTGTCACGAAGACTCCACGTTTAAATCTTAGAACGCAGTCGAAACTTATTGAAGAAATCTTAGAATGTGCGCGGGGAAATATCATTTTTCCCCACAGTTTCATCGCAATGGAAATAAATTAGTTTCACGAAGATCCGAAGACGTATCTATTTTAATTAATACTACAATTATTTCCTAACTAACTTTTATACTATTTAAATAACTTTTTCGTGATTTATTCAAATATATATTGGGAGTCTTAAAACAATGTGAAATAAATTTATTAAAATTAGAATATTAGGAGTCTCGAGAAAATTTAAAATTTCTCAATTGTCACGAAGACTCCGCGTTTAAATCTCATGAACACGGGTTACGTAAAAACGTTATCCCCCTTTTGTCTAGGCAGTGTTAAGATATTACAAAGCGTTTACTTAGCATACTCACGATAACGGCAGCGAGATTACGCCGCGGCGCGTTTCGCGCAAAAATCACGTAATTTCCATTGCGCTTCGGGATAATACGGATTACGTCAAACGTATCCGCGTGCTGCAGAAAGGACGATAAGCGCAAATAGCTTTCGGTAACGGGGTTGGCAAAGGGCGCGTCACGTGCTGAGTCTGATAAAAAGGGCTGCGTACCGGATAATGACGGCCCAGAGCGAGATGCTTGAGACGTCAAGTTGTCTACCCGGCGATACTCCTCAAGTAATTCCTGATATTAGCGCGTTTATTCGCGTACGGCCGAGCGACCGGCGTGATGGTAGGTCATGTCGTAGTTCTTCCAACACGGTCGGCTGTGTGTACGCGCGCGAGAAGATCGCGGATACTTCCTCGGAGCCCACGGCTGGCACGATTCCTCGGCGAACTCTCCGCTGCGCGAGCGAGCGAAAAATCAAGCGAACGCGGTTTCTCATTTATTTCGAATCAATGCTGGAGCATTAATATTTCGTTTAATTTATTTTAACGTACACGCCTCAGTGGTCGAATTGGCGAGACGCCCGCCTAGGGTGTAGGGAAGACCAGGTTCAAACCCTGGCTGAGGTAATATTTTGTCGCAATAAATTTTCTGTATTATTAAAAATGCCAGACACGTGGTCGAGGAAACACTGAGGTGGTTAATTTATTTAACTTTGCATTGTTTTTTACTTTGCATTCTGATTTCTGAAACGCACCACTTTTTGTCTGTAAATCTTGTATTTTTGCGAGTATAATCTGTGCCGGGGAAGAAGGCGCGCTAGTGAAAGGTTTGATAAGAATGCTTGAAATCACGAAATGTCATAACGCTATTAGCGTAATTAATTATTTAACTAAGAGTCATGTAACGGGCAAAATACTTGGCCTGCTGTTAGATAAACCCCGGAAGGATTGCGTTAGGTTCTCGCTGTCGCGCAAGACAAGTCACAAAACGGAGAAGAAGGAGACTGAAGAAATATCGTCGCGTTCGTTTCGGTTTCTGTCGACCCGCTGTTTAATAATATTCTTTTAGCTAACATCGGTGATCATTTCCGGTCTCTTGTGAACTCAATTAGCTAGTCTGAGCTACAACGGCTTGGATTCTTAATACCAAAACAGTTAGCGACTCCTTTTCAGGACCATTGAAAGGAGATAAAGGCATCACTTTCGTAAACGTTAATCCATCAATTTAGAATTACTCGCGTAATTTGTCAATAAATTAAGTACGGAGAAAAAGAGGGGGAGAACGAGATTCTCGTCGTTGTTGAAAAATACTTATTGATGTTCTACGCGAATATCGTTGTTCGACGATGCTAGAACTTGGTCCAAGTTCTAGTAACCAATTAACTTGTAGCTTTTATGGAATAGCTGCAAGTTGATTGGCTACACATTTCTCGGAACCAGAACTTGAACCAAGTGTTAGCATCGTCGACAAGCTCGCAGGTCGGCGGCCAGAAGACAGTGATGTTCGGGGGCGTAGAACGAAGCAACGGGAGTAGACTCGGCGGGCCGGGGAGACGAGAAAAGACGTGTCACGAGAGAGCAGAGAAGCAGAACTAGGGAGGGAAGAAAGGAGGGAGAGAAAGAGAGAGACGTGGTCGCAAATTGTCTGAATTAACCAGGCACGGGTAGAGGGGTCGCGCGGCGATAAAACTCCGAATATCGAGACCCTTAAGGCATGTGTCGACGATGCTAGAACTTGGTCCGAGTTCTAGTTTCGAGAAATGTGTGACCAATCAACTCACAGCTTTTATGGGATAGCTGCAAGTTGATTGGCTTGGACCGAGTTCCTAGCATCGTGGGCACAGGCCTTTACTGGCGGCCAGAGGTTGATTATGCTATCCGCTCCTCATTAGCATTAACTCCTCGGACCGGTGTGTGACCTTACGAGGATAAAAGACGGATTTTACGCGGACGGCCGAGCGTGTCCCATACGGGGCATTAGTATTCCAGCGGCTCCGCGTGCCTGCTTGTACGGTGCTAGTACTGGCGAGGATACGTGCACGCGTGAGCGGCGTGCCAGTGCGTAGAGCCGTGCGTGCATCGCTAACGCGATGCCGCGACTCCGTCGCGTGTGTAATTCGGCCCCTAAAGGTCGGCGCGCGGTACGAAGCGTTTCGCCAAACGGCGAGGGTCTCGCGAATTTTCCACGAGGCTTTGCGAACCGGAGACAGCGCTGGATGATTCCGGCTCGACTTTCTCACAAGTGAATAGTAAAAACAGTAAGCGGTACACTTCGCACTCTTAGTAATTCGCATTAATAAAATTCCTATAATTAATGTCGAGTTACTTCCTCGTGCAAATTACAGATTTGTCCAACGACATTGGTCGGAATTCTAATTTGTTTTTTCGCGCTCGATGAATAATAAGTTAAATTGAAAGGTGGGAGAAACCGCGCGATACGAAAGCAGGTACATCTTCACCTCCTTCGTCATTTCCTTTGTCCCTCCGATCAGGAGGAGGCATTTACTCATTGGTCACGCGTAATAATGCGAGGCGCGGGGGGAAATTTGCGTCAGAACGCGTCTCGCGAGAGTGTCGCGACCTTAAGGCGGCAAAGAGGAAAGAAAAGAATCTAGTTTATTTCGCAATAAATTCCCCCCGTTCGCGAGCCGAAGCGAGCGAGCAGCGGCGCGATGTGATTTGTGTCTCGTGCCGGCCCTAAAGGTCGAGAGCGGAGGAGAGGATGCGGTTGCGTTCTCCTTGTGCAACGTTCCTTTCTCGATTTGCGGATTCTGCGAGAATCCCCGACACGCGGGACGATCCTCCCGAGCGGGCGAGTCGTCGACGGCAGACGGAGATGACGCGACAGAGATAGGGCACGTTGGGTGACTCTGTTGACTTAAAGTCGTGCTAATACCGGCTCCCGGGCTACCGAACTTGTCGTAATTTGTGGCTGGAAGCCGATCGAGATGGTCGAGGCGAGATAATTCCGCGTATCGATACAGTTCTGCCGACAACCCGAATCGGCGCGCGGTTTATGGAGTTAATGCCACTCTAGGCACTTGGAAAAAAAAACAGCCTAATTTTAATAGTTTAATTAAGCAGGGATCCGGTAGGTTTTCCCCAGTTATTATTAGAATCCGACTGGGAAACGTCTCACTTTTAAAAAGGATTCCGGTCAGTAAAACTTAAATAGGAATTCGGCCGGATTTACTAGCCGGATTCCTTGTTGAAATACAATCTTTCAGCATCGATATAACCTGACAATCCTGACATGTGCAAATGCCTGATTTCCTAACTGGGGAACTGACCGGAAATTCTTATATTTCTCTAATAATTCAGCAAAACCAAGTTCTAAGTTAGAAAAACAGATTGGAATCCTTTCGGTTTTCATTTCTTGGGGAAATCTCATCGGAATCCAATAATAAGTGGGGATAAGATGGGGAGATTTCCACACGGGATTTTATCGTCGAAGGTTTTATGAGACTATAATGAATGGAATATAAAATCTGTATTAAGGCCTTATTGTACATATTTTGAAATGTACTCACAATTTTTTTCCAATTTTTTTTTAAATAAAATAGCGGCGTCAGAGCGTCAGCAAATGAAGCCTATTACTTTGCGCGGCCGGAAAGATTTCTCCTCCAATTTTTAACCTGAAACAAAATCGAGAAAATATCATCCTTAGACTGTTTATTGCGACAAATATTACCACGTGCCTCAAAGCCTGTGTCCACGATGCTAGAACTTGGTCCAAGGGTCCGAGCTTTGTGGAACAGTTGCAAGTTGACTGGCTACACATTTCTCGAAACTAGAACTTGGACCAAGGACACAGGCCTGATGTAAAAATAGAAGGTGAAGCATCGCGGGTGTAACGCAATTTTTGCGGCGCGTTGTTTATTGGTTCTCGCTGCATTCAACCGCAATGGTCTGCAGTTTGAAGGTTTGGGGCAAATTTCTGATTGGTGACGAGTGCGCATCCACGGGAATGTTACACCTGGTATATTCTTGCATCGTGGACACGGGCCTTCCAGTGGTCGAATTGGTGAGACGCGCCCGCCTAGAGTCTAGGGAGGTCCAGGTTCAAAGCCTCTGGCTGAGGTTATATTTCTCGCGATAAATCTCTTTAATTAGAACTTGCTAGTTGTGTCGACTATTAATTTCCTACATTGGTTAATTATTTACCGGCGACAACAAGATTCTCGAGATCGTTCTTACAGACGCGTCGTCGATCGCGTGAATAGCGACTGATAGCGCGGCCTTTTTGGCCATCTCACGCCCGGGGAATCGTTGAAATAATATTGGCATCGCGGAAATTGATTTGGGAAATGATGGTTTGAACAATTGTGTGCAAGCGCGAACGATACATTTTTAATAAATTGTGTCAATGCACTGATAACACGTATCTCGGGGTGAATAAATGTCGAAGCGGATCGAGGAGGAATTTCGCTCTGCGATCCGTTTCTCTCGCTCTTGTTAAAATGTTTAAATTTTAAATGAAAAATTAATTCCTTTGTGTAATTTCGGTTCGTGATTTTCGAATATCTAGAGACTTGTGATTTCACACGGACGTGGAAATTCCTTTGAATTCGCTCAATTTCCGCGAGGTATGCGCCCCCTCCCCCCCCCCCCCCCCCAGCACGTAATCAAAGCGATTAGACGCGAGCCTCCTGAAAGACGGCGGGGGACGAATTACTGTCGAGTTGATACTTTGCGCTAATCGGATTCGCGAGCGAATATAATCCTAAACGAACGCACGAACCGTCCCGTTAAACTCAGGCGGAAGTTGGGGCGAAAGTTGAATTTCGTCGTTCAATTTTTCGCTTGTGTTTCGTACTTGTATTCCGTTGCCGATTAAAATAGCAAATGTGTCGAGGACGCGGCATTTTGTTTCACGGTACGTCGGAAAAATCCCGATGACCGCAGGACAATTAATGTGCAATTAAAAGAACAACGCGCTGGGAAGCATCTTGGTACACCGAAATTTTCGATATGGATAAAACATAAAGCTTCGAACGAAAACAGCGGCAATTTGATGAACCCAACTGCGCGGGACGCAAGTGTCTCCAAATAATCCGGTCGATACGCGCAGACAGTTATTCCTGAGTCTCTCGCTTTGATATGACATAATTTGATCATAAATTTCACATTCGCTGTACGAAGAAATCAAATCATTGCTCTAATTTCAGCGAGCGAGCGAGCTCGCCGACTCGCCGTAGAGACGTGCGGCAAGAATACATACACTCGGTTAGGTCGAATTTATAATTCCTAACTAACAAAATTATTATTAGAGATAAACAATGCTATCCCGCCGCGTATATTTTGCTGGAGACTCGAGGCTGAATAAAATAAGAAAAAAATAGCGGCGCCGATCGAGTCGGAGTTAGAAAGAAAAATTAAGCTTCAGTTGCCACTTAGTGACTATTGCGAAGTATTTGTTATAGCGTGAGACAAGTGAGATAAGAAGAGATAACCAGTCTATAATATACTGGAGCGAGTGATCCTATTCTTTCCTATTCTTGATGTCGCCGAGAGACAGAGAGATGCCGTTGGCCGAATCTTGATCTCTTTCGTGTTTTATCTGATTGGTCGACGATTTTCTATCTCACGATTTCCACGCTGAAAAAAGAAACAATCCGGTTGCATTAATTAGAAATCTGGTAGATTCAACGAGTCGTCCGTTAGAAAATGGACAAATCAGCGTTCCTTTAGGATTCGCTAGACGTGCAGTGAAGTCTATCAAAGTTCTGGTTATGAAATATCGAGTCCTATCGCGGTGACTAGGAAATTCTGTTCGGTTCAACCAAAATACATTCCTATCGTACGTGTCTTGTCGATACGAGAGCACTTTTATCAGTGCATCTCACTCGTGTGGGGTGAAACAGAAAATCGTTGACCGACCAGAGAAAGAGACAGGAGATTCATCTCTTTCTCAGCTACGTAGAACAATAGGACCGCTCGCCCGGTGAGTTACACAGTACGTTATAGGGCGATAACGTTGGTGATAACGAAGCTGTATCCGCGAAGTATAATAATGATTAATTTATGCGATGGGGATTTAAATTAATTTCGCATGGCCGGGAAACGGCACCGGGCGAGCGCGAGACCGATGAAATCCGGGCGAGAGCGCGTTAGCATGCACAAGCTCCCCGGGGCCTTTGAAACGAGCGAAGGAACGGTCTTGCAATTACGCGTTGACGCAACAGTGCGAGGGGCGCACCGCGCGCTCCGGGTACTCGCTTTCTCTCATCTTCCGAACGCTCGAGCGCGGCCGGAGCTGGCTGGATCTATCGAACGGGGACGGAACGAAGGACCTTGATCCTTCTCCTCGCGACACCTTCTCGCGGACCCTTTCCCTTCCCTTCTCCCGTCCATTGTGTTCTCTTTTTCCTGCCCGCTCGTCACTCGAGGCGCGCGACGGCGCGCGAACGTCGCGCGGGTTTTTCTCGCGGGCCGCGCGGAGAGATGCGTTACGTAAGGCGGGGTTAACAGCGAAATTCTCGGTTTCCACAGCCCGGTGAACCGGCACCGAGTCGAATGCACACCGGGATATGCGTGCAGACATTGCAACGCGCCCGTTTCTGCGGTCGCGCGCCAGTCGCCGAGGAGGGAAACAAAAAAAGGAGAACGGCGCTGCAAAACCGCACCGGCGCGGCGCTTCCGGAGAGCCGTATGTTTTACGTCTTGTTTGCGGCATGTTCATTTTTCTCGGAGAAAGAAAAGGGGCCGAAGCGCGGGTGTCCTCGACGACCTCGGTCGCGGTTCCGGCGAGATTTCTTTTCGTCGCGACGCGACTTTTGCGGAGTACTTGAACAGGATTCCATCCTTCTCCGCAAATATCTTTCAATTTCGAACGCGACGGTCCACGAGATCGAGATGAAAAGCGTGGACCGAAGTGAAATCTCCGAGGCTTCGTTTAGTTGACTCTTTTTTTCCCCCCCGGTTTCATCTCGAAAGGATCTTTCATCTCCGTTATTAAATTTCGGCGTTCCATCGGACCTCGACCAGTCGCATTTGCCGTAGGAATTGACCGATCGCGGTTGACACTTAATCGGCCGATTAAATTAATCGGCGACGGTGGAACCGGCCGTGACTCCTTGTGTTTCTTCCATTAGGGATGCACGAGATAGATCGGGCGCGGGTCGCGGGACACGCGGGACACCTGATTGTCTGTCCATCGCAAACGGGGCACAGGCAGCACACGTAACAGGCACGCCGAACGTGTACCGGATGGATCGCGCCGTGTTCCAAGTATTACAAGAGCGATCTCCTGCGTGTCGGGACTGCCGATGCGACGAGGGGCCGTGCGCGGCCTCTTCCTCCGTGTGCCGCCATCGCCACCAGAAACGCCCAGGGTGTGGCGCCCAAACCTGGTGGACGACCTTAGACGCGACCACCAAGCTGGCGAAAAAAAACCGCGGCCGCCGATCCCACCTCCGGAATCGGCAAACATCCGAGCGAAAGTCTGATCTACAATGTGCTCTTTGCGACTAGAAACATTCAGTTTTATTTAATAATTACTTAAAGTTTTTAAAAGTAATCTTTCAAATCTAAGAGTGTACTTAAAGAAGTTAAAAGTTTACTTAGAACAAACTTTTAGTCAATAAATACGTTTAAAAATTTTGTGCAAGTTGATGAATTGTACATTATACAGGGTGTTACGGATAAGGTGTCCATCCGCTCGTATACAGGTAGAGCGGGTTAAACTGAAAAGAAAAGTTATGTGCCATTTTGTAAAATTCCCAATAGTTGTCGAGTAATTAATTAAAACGCGTGAGCGAATAGGCGCGAGGAAAGCGTTTTCCAGTGCGTCGCTCCACCTTCCGCTACTAGACGCCCACCGTTGCTACGAGACCAAACAAATAAGGCGCTCGCCGAGTACGGCCTTAGAACATATAGACATGGAAGAGGAATAGGGACTTGAAATGTGTCCGGAGGAAGCGAGAAAGAAAATCGTAGTGGAGGAAGCGAGAAAGAAAATCGTAGCTCTCTCTCGTGAGTTACTGCTCGAAAGTGCGCATGCGCGCCAACTCACACACACACACCGATGCTTGTGTGCAGCAAATGGCGCGCATGCGCACTTTCGAGCAGTAACTCACGAGAGAGAGGCACTACGATTTTCTTTCTCACTTCCTCCGGACATATTTTTCTCTCGAAAACAATAGGCATTCCTCTTCCATGTCTATATGTTCTAAGAGTACGGCCTACTGCTTCTCCGTGCGCTTATTCGTCCAGATGTTTTCATTCATCGCTCGCAAACTATTGCGAATTTTACAAAATGGTACATAACTTTCCTTTTCAGTTTAACCCGCTCTACCTGTATACGAGCGGATGGACACCTTATCCGTAACACCCTGTATATTGTACTCTCGTGTGTTGTCGATAAATTTTTGAAGCGTTTTGATTTGCTTACATCCCTTGGGAAAATATACCTTAGAACACCTCAAAATTATACTTTAGAACAATAAGAAATATGAAACGTCAATTTGGACACTAAACTTTCATTTAAACTAAAAACTTTAAGAATTTAAAAGAAAACTTTAAGAACTGTGAAAAGCAAGTAATATAATTTACAATACCACGTGCGATTTTCTTCTTACGAGAAAGTGCTATGCCGCGCGGCCCTCTAGCGGTAATTTCGACAGGCTTGGCTATCTAAAAAATTACTCTAAAACTTCTTAAGTAAACTTTTAACCTCTTTAAGTACACTCTTGGATTTGAAAGATTACTTTTGAAAACTTTAATTTCATTTAAAGTAAATTTTTCCAAGGGACAAAATAGAATGTTTCCAGAAGCAAAGAGCACATCGTAGATCGGGCCGAAAGGACGAGAGCTATTCTCGTCACTCCACTTGTTATTGATTGTCGATCGAGCCGCAGGTCGCGCGGCGCTGCTTCAGCGATTTACATTTCGAACAGTCGCGTGCCTTTTTAAAGTGTTCAGCATATCTCTACCTGGATCAGGCAGATCAACCGTTGTAAAGCCTTGGTCCAAGTTCTAGCATCGCGGACACAGGCCTTAACTGACACTCAGCAAATTTATACAGGAGAACCGAAACTGGCTTCCACTTTTATAAGTTTCTTTATAATATTATTATAATAGTTTTGTTTGCTCGAAAATACTTTATGAAAAAAATAATAAAATAAACCATTAGAGCGTTCATTTGAGATGAAAATCTTAAAACCGATAATTTTGTAGTCACGACAGTTTACTTCTCGGGTACAGATACGTTTCGATGCCTGACATTAATCAATCGATCATGCCATAAAATAGAATCTCATTGATAGTATACACGTATACTATAATAACAACATTCCGCCCCACTTTTCAAACCTCGGGATCAATTCTGTATCTCACACCATAGTAAAAATGCTAAAAGTGAATAGCTTGGTCTCGTTTTAATCGTCCCCTTAGAAAGAGACGAAGTCGCTCACTCTTTTAGCATTTTCGCTATACTGTAAGACACAGAATCGACCCCCTTAATTCGAACAGAATAAATAACAATTTCAATAAACAATCTTTCCTCGACTCTCCAACGTATTCACCTTCCGAGATTGTTAAAATTACTCGGAGACACGATCGCTATGCGTGTCATTGAAAGATAAAAAGCTTGAATTTGGCAGGTGGAAACAACTTCAGACTTCTCGTGGCGTGAGTTTCTAACAGGTCATCCCAAAGTGATTTGAAACACGACAATTAGCGGGCAATCGGCGTACGCTCGCGACTCCGCCCCGGAGTTCGTTTCGGTCGCGTAGGCGAGCGGGTAGACAAGCTTCACGTCGCTACGCAACGGCCGGCGTGTCCTGTAAGTGTATCGTCGAGTACGTAACAGGAAGTAACGCGGCGCGAATATTAACGAGCGGGCGCGCACCACGAAAGCGTTTACGGCTCGCTCTCCGCGCGCCTTCGCGTTTTGCAACACGTGCAATATGCGCGCGCGCGCGCGCGCGTCCGACGCCTCGCGCCACCGTCAACCTCGGCGCTGTTTCGCGGAACGGACGCGGACAATGCGCGCTGCGCCTCGCGAATCCCGAAGTCGCGAAAATTACAAGCTTTACAGGCGGGAGATGAATGTAAAGGAACTCTACATTCGAGAAGACAGTAGTCGTTTTACAAAATAAGAAATGTACATCCTAGTCGCCTTACTTGCCACTTTGGAGTCTGGGATAAAATATTTTGTATACTTCAAAGCAATATAATAGTGTTTTTAAAAGAAATGACCGCAATAGCATGTCTAAAACTTGAATGGCACGGGAGGTACACAGAGCCCGCGTCAGACTGCAGGTTGAAATTAAAATTAGATTGAAATTTGACCGGAGTAAAGTTCACTAATTTCAAGCCTGGTGAATTTTACTCCGACTGGTCAAATTTTAATCTAATCCGAATCTCGATCCGTAGTCTGATACGGGCTTAACGGTAGAAGGGTTTTCCAGTTTCGTGTTTGCGACGTTTGTACAATCAGGAGAAATATCCAGATAATAAAATAAATCTTTAATCCTAAACTCTTAGCAAGCTAGTACAATATCTTTCCAGGTAGAAGGCATCGCAGTGTCTAAATCGTTTACTCTCCATCACACTTGCGAGAGAAATGAGACGTGACTGCCATATGAAAAAAAATAAGAAAAGGATATAATTGGCGCGCACATTATTTTCACATTGAACTCACGTTGTTTCTTATGTGCAATTATTACGTGCAACGCGCCATGGATTTACACTTGGGGTCTAAGCGCGCTGTTCCTCAGCTGCGCTTAAATTTGTCTTGAAAGGGCGGCAGGTCGAAGATCCTGGCTGTGCCGAGGAGAACGAGTACTGGAAACGAAATTACGTTGAGTAACTTCGGCCGATACGGAGCCCCGCGTTAAATAAAATTGTCGCGCGAAGCGCGGACACGCTCCTCGACGTTGTTCCGCTCTTTGCAAAGCCGGAACAAAGCCGGCGATACGCGCGACACGCTTGCCGACCGTAAACCGACGTACCAGAGGCGACCGAGTACATCGCTGCCTTCCCTGCTTGCTTCTGGTACTGTTTCGAGTGATGGCAGACGTACAAACCTGCGGCGACGAGGCCGCCACCGCTCAACAGTCTGCACTCGAGACAATCGCGGTTCCTGTTGCTGATCATACTGTTCACCGTGTGCACGTTCGTCATGTCTCGATCTTGGACCGCGGTTCACGAGGCTGCCCCGCGCATACGGCGAAGCGAGTCTTCGAAGAGGTTAGGAGAGCCGGCCTTGCGACGTTTTGCCGACCGTGCATAGGACACTTGTCGATTGCTCGGCCATTGATGCACTTATACACCTAGTAAGGAAACCGGTACACCTGTCGTGCGACAAATCTCTTGAGCGCGTTGATTGGCTGCGGGAAAGAAAACTAGGGATTCGCGAACTTTTCTTTTCTACAGCCATTGGCTGTGTTCTGCCGAAGTTAGCTAAGAATAAGCGCTTTATGCTGATTGGATAGATCTAGAAGAATAGCTCTATTTCAGCACAGATCTGAAAGTATAATCCAATGAACGCAAAGCGCTTAGCAAGCGCAAACTTCTGCTGGACACAGGCAATCAACACATTTGCTGATTCAGATTGAAATTTGACCAATCGACCCGCGGCTTTTCCGTAATCGGTGCAAATTGATTGGCTACGCATTTCTCGAAACTAGAACTTGGACCAAGTTCTAGCATCGTGGATACAGGCCTTAAGACACATAAGAATTGACCAATCATAGCTTGCGTTCGTTTTCTCCCACTGGGAGCATAAACTATACTGAAAGTCTATAATTTACGTAACGTAAACTATAGAGTTTCAGTATAGTTTATGCTCCCGGTGGGAGAAAACGAGCGCAGGCATAGTCGACTATTCATACGACTACAACTTTACGACTTCTATGTAGACGAGGCTTTAAAGCCTCCGCTACAATGATTCTCGGTTCTGTCTACAATGGTCGTAGTCGTAAGAATAATCGACTGCGATTGGTCAATTCAGTCAGACGCATAAGAATTGACCAATCGCAGTCGATTATTCTTACGACTACGACCATTGTAGACAGAACCGAGAATCAATGGCCACGTTCAGCAGACACAACTGTTGAGTGAGCGCTCAGTGATTTCTTAATATGATTGGCTGGATCTAAAAGTATTAACCAATCATACTGAGCGCTCACTCAACAGTTGTGTCTGCTGAACGCGACCATTGTAGCGGAGGCTTAAAGCCTCGTCTACATAGAAGTCGAAAAGTCGTAGTCGTAAGAATAGTCGACCATGATTGGTCAATTCTTATGTTGAGACTCTAAAATTGACCAATCATAGTCGACTATTCTTAAGCCCGTATCAGACTACGGATTGGGATTGGGATTAGATTGAAATTTAACCAATCACAGTAAAGTTTACTAATCTCAAGTTCAGTAACTTTTACTCTGATTGGTCAAATTTCAATCTAATCCCAATCTCAATCCGTAGTCTGATACGGGCTTAACGACTACGACTTTACGACTTCTATGTGGACGAGGCTTTAGGGAGCGCAACACAGCCGGAAGTCACGTGTGCGGGACCGCAGCGCGAGACATGCCGACTAGCTAGCTTCCGGCACGTACGCCGTTCTCTTCCTCTTCGTTCTACGTATCACTGAGCGCGTTGCTCGCCGATAGTTTAATTTGGAAGACTGAGATATAAGCACGAAAGGGAGGATTACGGACAATTACGCGCGGTAATAATGGCGGCGACAATGAGGTGTCTTATGAAATTCAACGTGGGGCTGGCAAGCAATTCTCTTCTCAGGAATAGCTTTCTGAACTGTACGTAATATTCGACTTAACCTCACATCTCTTGCACCCGCAGCGACACGAATATCGCTCGCGTTACACAGACTAACGTCGCGAACTAATTGCCATTACAAATACGTCCAAATATCTTCTGCATTCTTTCAATAAAGCTGAAAAGCAGTGAAGACTGGTTTATGCAATGCCGTAAACTTATACCGGAATCGATAAAAATTTACCAATTAAAGTTAACCATTTTCTTTACTTTTAATGGCGATTGGACAATGTTTACAGACTCCGGTATAATTTAACAGTTACGGCCTCGCATAAACCAGTTTTTACTCACGTTGAAGCACCTGCTGCGGCAACTTGACCGGCCACAGCCATAATCTTCAGTCAATCATTCTTTGGAAGATACGTCACGTTGTATATTCGAACCACAGACAATATAGGCCTGTTCTTTATTACTGCACTACTGAACTAGTGCAATAAGTTAAAATGAAACAAATAGATTACCTCTCATTCCAACTCATTGCACCAGTGTGCACTAGTTCAGGAGTGCAGCAATAAAGAACAGACCCTATATCTAGAGGTTCACGTGGAAAAGGACAAACTCTATTTTGTGCTAAATCGTTCTCTCTTTTTCGCATGTGAACAAGAGAGAACGAAACGGCATGAAACAGAGTTTGTCCTTTTCTACGTGAACCTCCACTCCCACTGATCAAATAAAGGCAAACGCTCGGTCCAGATATATCATCTATAATTCGAACAGAATCCAGCAAGAACGTAATAAAATATCAACAAGTACTCGCGTGTTTGGGACGACGAGTATTTTTTGTACTACTTATTGATGCGCGCACTTTTTATCTTGCAGCTTGCAGATTTTTATATTCAGACAGAAGCCTGGGTCTGCAGGGCTACGAAAACGCGCGACTGAACTTCCGCAATCAGTTTCTAAACGTGGAGACCACATTCCGCAACAAGATGGAGGAAGTGTGCAACGCGGACTCGAGTATGATCTTCACCGAGGACCTCAAGTCCATGCTGCACCTGGCCCAGAAGAAGCCCGAGGACATTGAGCTGCTGATCAAGATGCTGACGAAGTTCAACAGCCAGGCCAAGGAGATGAGATTCGGCACCTTCATCTTCGGCCCCGTGGTGATGCGCACCTTCTTCTATCTGGACGAGCCGGATCTCGCGTACACGGCTTTCAAGGATCCCAAGTTCGAGAGTTTCTTCGATCAGTTGATCAGTTATCAGATTCTCCTGACCTTGTTGTACAAGCATGGAAAGTACGCGGAGATGAGAGACGTGTACGACACAATTAAGACGAGGCAAGCGGACGGATATCCCAGGAATTCGTTAATATTAGTCATGGGCGCCTGTTACAAGGAGGTAATACCTTTGCGGGAGCGATTAGAGTGTTAATACCCGGCCACCTTTGCCTAATTATTCTTAATGCTTCCCAGAATACACCGGAGACCTTCGAGTACAGCTTAAATCTCTGGAAGGAATTGAACGAAAAGGGCTACGAAATCATGCGCAGAGCCACCACGTTTCTAGCAGCTCTCGCGATTAAGCAGAACGCGCCTCACATAGCCATAGAAATCTTAAGTACGTTAAAAGAGGTACGATATATCCACATAAGATGCCTGAAGGTCGTGGCTTACACAGATCTGGACAGGTTTACCGAGATAGTGCCCATAATCAGAGCGTCGTTGGAGCACGACAGGCCGAATGCTACCAAAGAAACTTATTTCAAAGACGTGGTACGTGTCCAACTGTAGTCATCGCTTAGCGGCGTAATACGTCTGTATCGTATTTTGTCTGCATTATTGTGTTTTCAGATTGAGAAGCTGGAACAAGCTATGATTAAGGCGGACATCCCCGAGGACTTTGAGCTGTACAAGTTGATTGCTTTATTGAAACAGGAAGATCACATCTTGCCGGATGTAAGTTTGGCCAAGGCGTCACTTCTATATTCCTCGTTAATTATTATTGCTGATTCATTGGGTGCTTTCCAGCAACGTACACAGACGCGGTGTATCTTTGTTGCTTGCCATCACTAGACAAGGATGAAATGGTTCTCTGCGTTTGGGCCATCGCACACAAAATTGCACAGCTACATATGTATAGCATAAAAACCGTCTGAATTAGTCTGAAACAATGAGCATCGAGCACTGAATCGCCATATTGATTCACGTAACACGCTTATTGGTCTAGACGGTCTTACGTTGCGCGTATGCGATTGTGCAATTTTGCGTGCGATGGCCCTGTCGACGTATAATACATAGACCGCGCGTTTGGCTGAAGTGGTGTCCAAACTTTAGAAAGAGACAACCGACTAAGTGCTCGCCCTCTCGTTTCCCTCGCTATTTATTGGACAAAGATGAGGCGACGACGCAACGGTCAGCTATCTCGTTCTAAAGTTTGTACATGATCTCAACACGGGAGAGGTAGGGAACGTCCTGCGTCAATCTTGTGTCTCTTGCTGGAAGGCACCCATCGTCGATTGCCTGCCGGAAATTCGTTCTATTCCTTGCGTTCTTTGCGTACGACGAATTTCCACGTGCATGCGAGATCGACCTAATGAATCAAGTGTATTAATCCAATATCTGTTAGACTAAAGGATTGAGTGACGATCTTATTTTTTTGCAGAGTCTGGAAGACAGTATTTGTGCGGAGATAAAGATCGATAGAATGAGAACGAGGAGATTCGGCAATGATATGCAATTGCAAAACAATTTCCAATCGCAAAGCAGTTTCCCACGACAGCGACCGTTTAATAATTTTCGTAACAGTAGGCCAGCGGTGCGAGATCTTTTGTAAGTAAGTCTCTAGAGATGTGTCCGTACGGAAGCTGTAGAACGTGTCTCGATATAACTCGATGCTGCTGATGTAATTTATCCGAGACAGGTTTAAGATTGAACTAATAAATAAACGTAATGTTTTTCTCGACCGATGGACGAAACATCATATTTGTTCTTAACAAATTAATAATTAATGCACCTTCTTCGACGCACCTTTCGGCAAGATGATGCACTTTTCAACAAGAGACTTGTAAAACGGCTCCATTTAATTTTGACTTATACAATTTTACATGGAAAAAGTACACCACGTACTCTTTACGATAAGCCATAATAAAATTGTCTGATCCACGTAAGCTGCGAGATTTTGTTACCTCAGAGATCGCCGAGTTCTCTCTCGTTGCGAAATAACCATTGTGACATGGCTTCGGAGGTTTTGAATTGCGATTTCATCACCGATATCAGCGACAGTACCCACCGATCGTTAATTGGAGTGCAGTGCTTGTCTCTGTAAACAAAATGCACATCACAACACTCAACAGTTGGAACACGGACGCGATTGGCCGCATTCAGCGCACACAACAGTTGAAGGGTCTCTTCTCTGATCAACACGTGTATGTCATATATGAACAAAATAGCTACTTTTTTACAATTCGTGGCTGACAATGGCCTAAATATTAATATTGTTGATAATCTTATTCAACCGTTGCCCGAGAATGATCTTCGCGTAAGACAACGTCGAGCTGCAAAACCTCGAAATGAGGAATACTTTGAATTAACAATTCCAACATACACACGGACGATCAATTCAGGGAACACTTTCGAACGTCTCGAGTAATTCGCAACATGTGGGAGCGCTTCGGATCGTAGACCGTTCAGCGCGTAAATCCACAACTGTAGTGCGCGCTGAATGCGGCCATTGATACAACGTCTCCACAGTACCGACCTGGATAAAAGGGCCGCGACGAGATTAGCCCAGCTCTCGGCATTGCCGGGATACGTGAACATATTTTTCTGAGCTCGTCTGAGGCCCTCCTTCGTGCCGAAGTGGCTGTACGCCGACGCGCAGGCGACGTATACGCCGTCGGTCATGGACGTATTTCTGCTTAGCGTCAGCGCCGTTACCGCGCATTTACGGAAGACTTCCAGATTTTCGCCCAGCAGCAAAACTCGAACGAGACGCACCCAGTATCTGACATCGTCTAAAACACCAACGTATTCGTTGTAAGGGACAAGCTTGCTAGTGTCTGCCGTTTAACATGTGACAACGTCGGTCTTACTAGGATGCCTGAATATAGCTTTGACAAGTATTCGAGCAGCTTGAGCGAGATTTCCTTGGATAGCTTGATAGTACGCCGACAGCGTGACGACATGGTAACCGTATTCGTGATGGTTCTCGTACGATTTCAATTCGTTGAGTACCAAGGAAGTCAGATTGACGTCGTCGTGCAAAATCCCCAACGCGGCAGTCGCTAAGAAACCGGTTACAGTAGGCGGTTCTATTTGTATACACTGGAACAGCAGAGTCTTGACGGCGTCCGCCCCTTGGAACATGTAGGCAATCGCGGCCATCGCGCACAGGATGTTCCCTTTATCCGCGCTGGTGTCCGCCAGCCAGTGCAAAGCTGCTTCGTACGTGCTGTACGATTCTTCGTACTGCTTGGCTAAATATACATAAAACACTTTCTTTTACTATCGTCAGAATTACATGTCTATCCGCGTGTAAGTTTAAGTATCTAATGTCTAAAGTTTTCATGACCCCGTGTGAGAATGGTTGGGCCCGGTTTCGTCATCGTCGCTTAACTCTAAGCTTAGTTTAATTCGCTCTTTGTCCCTTTCCGACTGTTACTTTAGAAAGAGACTAAAACTGAACTAAAATTCAGCGACGCTTGGCGAAACCACAGGTCTTACAGTCGACGGTTTTAATCTCAGTTTTAGAAGAAAGTGAGACTAGAGAATCGAACATTGCGAGTAAAGGAGCACGAAATGAATGATGATACATTTCGGGAATTTATACATCAATAAGATAATTTTTAGGATTTCCATACCTTTGAACAAGGACAGTGCTAGATGGCACTGAGAATTGAAATTGGCACATTTCACTTGTCTGCACAATGCCACCGCTTCCTCGTATCTTCCGATTTGAATCAGGATGCGTGCTAAGTTTACAGATATCATGTTTCTTTCTTCGTCCTCGCTCAGTTTTAAGGCCGTGGCGAATTGCTTAGCCGCTGTGTTGTACAATTTCAATCGTTCCAATAACAAACCATGGGTATTCAAGGCGTAAACATCGTGCGGCTCGCGTTCTGAAAAAATATATCGAAATCTGCTTTAAAGTATACGAAAGAAGTTACGTGAAGCCGATCATGTTACGCGCTAACCTGTGTACCAAGTGAGAACATCAGACGCTGCAGGTATCGCGTGCATGTTCTCGATCACGTAAACGAACAGTGGGTCTTTCTTCATCGCAGGATTTAGGAGAGAAGTAAGCACCCAGTGAGCATAGCCTAAAGCCGCTTGACTGTGATAACCCAGTTGCGTCGAATGCCGGAAAAGGTCCATCGCTTCCTTCCTCAGAGTCTTCTCCGCGATCAATCCTTGTCCGACCCAGCTATTCACGTAACTAGGGTCCGCACGTTGCGCCCGAGAAAATGCTTCGTTCGCTTTGTAGATATCTCCTGCGTGTCAAACGGTTGTTGTGCAAAGAGTGCGTGTAATTTCAGTGAAAGTTAAAAAAGCTATTATCATCGAGTACCTAACTGCAAGTATAACGTTCCCAAATTGCTCCAAGCTACCGCGTTGTTCGACTCCCTGTCGATCGCCATGATGAAACAATGTTGAGCCAGGGCGTAATTTTTCACGTACACCGACATACAAACGATGCCCAGAATATTCCAATTTAGCCACGACTGCGGGCAGAGTTTGACGGCATGTTTCGCGGCCGCGTAACACTTGGTCGCTATGTCGTTCTTATTGGCTGTAGAATCGCGATTTAGCTGCGTCGAGTAACAGCACGCCAAATCGTGCCACAACGTTGCAGAATTTTGTATGGATATTGCCCGACAAAAACATCTGCAAATAAGACGATTTGTACGTGAAATTGGATTTTAAATTGTAAAAATGATCCAAAATGAAATCTCACAATTTTCATATGGATTTGATACGTGCGGTCTGCCGCGTATCAATAATTACGTTCAACCGATACTAGCCTTGTCTTCTACCGAGAGCATATTATAAGATAATTCAATTCTCAATCAATTTAATCCTTCGGTCGCCAGTGTATTAAAATATCAAGTTAAATAATAAATCGACCTCGAGGAAATTTCCCTGCCAGCTGAGGTAGATTTATTATTCAATTCAATTCTCCTTTTTACCTTATTGCCAACATGAGTATCTCGTCTCCTTTGATATTCATATATTTCTCGGCACTGTCGCACTTCATTAATGCGGACTTGATCGTTAAATAGCAATACTTTTCCGGCAGAGTGACTACTCTGTAGCACACGTCGCCCAGCAATTTCCAATTGCAAAGCAGATCGCTACGTATTGTAATAACATCTATCAGGCTGTCTGCTGCCTGTTGTAGATTTTCCCTCGCGCGACACAGAAAGTGCTTCGCGACGTTTTCCCTCGCCAGACCCAAACACGCCTGTGCCAGGCCTTTTAACGCGAGAATATGCTGTTTGTTGTTCTGCAATATACCCTCGAAGTCTTCCTTGGCTTCTTTATGCTGGCCAATGAGCTGGGGAGGAGATTTTACAGATATCACGTCGTCGACATTTTCAGAAATTCACCGCTTACCAGTTTGATATTCGCGAGTTGTATTATGGGATACAAGGATCCTGGGCTCAGCTGTAGCACGCGCTGATACGACTTCAGTGCGGACGTGTGAGCGCCACGTACCAAGTACGCATCCGCCAGAGATTCCCAGCTGTGACTGTACAAGGCGCAAACTTATGATAAAGAACATCACAGCGCTCCATAGCGCAACGGAGTAATAGCGAGTCATATTATACTTGTCGTTAGGATCGGCTCTGATCACGTGCTGCAACGCCGTGATGGCCTGCCCCGCGTCACCCTGATCCAAGTAATGCAGGCCCAGCTGGAGCCAGGCCCACTTCGGCCCGGTACCCTGCATGGTTACCCTTTGTAACAGCTGTATATTGGCGTTCTAAGCAACGGTAACGTAACATTAATTCAATTGGGATCGTCGCGGGCAAATTTGCGTTGCAGAAGACGGGAAAACGCATGCGTGTGACGCTCACGGTATTCTTGAGGAGACGATAAGCCGTGCTCAATCCGATGCCGGCCTCCTCGGAGTTCGGGTTGATTTGCAGCGCGGCGTGGTAGCACCTTCTCGAACGTTCTATGTCGTTGTTGTGCTCGCGGTAATAGTGTCCCAGGTAAACCATGCATTCCCAATTGTTGCGATCCGCTTGGACGCCGTTTAAGAACGCCATCAGACTGTGGTTGTAGTCTCCCATGTCCCAATATATTTTACCGAACAGCAGCCAAGCTTCGGCATTGTCCAAAGCCAGCTCGAGAGCGTTGATAGCTTCCTCGTACCGTTTGTGCCTTCTCAAGTGCAACGCTTTGAGAATAAAAGCTTGATGCTTAGTCTCGTCCTGAGATTCCAAGTTATTCAATATAGCAGTAGCGTCCGGCTCGTCCAGCAGTATATTTATACGCGCGTGTATCACTTGCAATTGTACGGAAGGCTCGATGCTTAGCAGCTGAGTAGCAATGAGTTATATATATTAATAAATATCGAGGGGAAAATTTATAATCGTTTGTGTCAAGCCTCACCTCTTCGCACATGCAACGAGCTTCCTCCAACTTTTGCTTGCTACTGCTTCTACTTATAGCTTCAAGCAGCCTGAGCTTGACTCCACATTGAAATTTGTCCTTCAAACGGAGTTTCATCGACTGCAGCGCTTTCCTCGAAGCATTCTCGGTCTCCTCCCAACAGTAGAGCTTGTAATACACTTGGCTCAGCATCAGCCAAGCGTAAAACGACTGGGCATTCAGCGAGACCACTTGTTTCAAGCAATCGCGCGAGTCAATTAACTCGTCCGCCCTCTTCAAATACGTCGCCTTCGCGACGAGCGCAGCCTCGGAGTTTGCGTTCAGCTCGAAAAGTGACTCATAAAACTGAGTTACGTCGATCTCGAGCTCGGTCTCGCACGACGCAGCCTCTTCGTAGTAAACACGGCACAACCATTCTATTGTACAAACGGATTAATTGTATTAGCAATTAACAAGGTGTTAAAAACCCGAGTAAGAACAGAGAGACAACCTACCTAGAGGACAAGCGTCCTGTGGGAATTGAACGTGCATGCCTTGGGCGGCTGCCAACAGTTTCGTAAATTTACGCGAATCGTACAGCATCTTCAAATATCTCCTGTAGTACTCCTGTCTGTTCACCAGGTCCGCATCTTTGATCACAGACGCCAACACATCCTCGTAAAGCTCCTGATGCTTGTTTATCCTGTCGCTGGGATACTCGGATAAAACCCACGCCAGGGTCTTGTCGATCAAGTTTATCTTCTCTTTGGTGGAGACCTCTCGCAGCGTGCTCAGTGTACTCAGCGTCTCGGCCAGTATGTCGTCGTTCTTGATGCGCAAAACAATCTCGGAGATCTTATCCACGAAATGCGTGAATTTGGGCGAGTCACTGAAATAAACAGACGTGAACGTCCCTGATCTCGGAGCGGTTTCAAGTGTCGTTGGAATCGCGACAGCCTACCTGTCCAACTGCAACAGCTTGCAATAGGCTAGCGCCAGCTTCCCCCAGTTGTCGTGATCCTGCGGCGCCTTCTCGTAGTGCGCCGCCAGGCCCTGCCAAGCCAGCGGATTGTTCGGCTGCACCTCCACGGCCTTTTGGAGGACCAGGGACACCTGCGACTTGAATTCCTCCACCTCTTGCATGGAACGGGCCAGCAGGACCAGCGCCGCGTAATTGCTCTTATCCTTCTTCAGGACCTTCTTACACTTTTTCATAACTTCCAGATATTCATTCTGTTTGAAGAACTCGCGGGCTTCCTTTAGCAAGACCTTGACGTCGTCTGACATGTTTTGCCTCCTTAATGAGATAAATGTTAATGTACACTTGGCAAATCCTTCGCCTTCGATATTTCGCGGTCATAACGGTTGGTTGATATTTAATTTCACAATTTAGTGACCGTGGCGATGTCTTACCTTGTCTTTAATTCAATGCTACGAAATTTTTTTAAGAGCAACTACAAATGCTCCATGTGAACAACAATCAAGCTCATTTAAAGTAACGGGAGACGTTCAGCAACTCATTGGCCGCGTTCAGCAGAAACAGCTGCTTCGTAGCTATTGTGAAACCCTTGAATCTGATTGGAGTACGCTGTTAATTATGGCAGGATCTAAGAGCATACTCCAATCCACGATCTTATACACAGGTCGAGACACTCCTATACCGGCTACATGCTTTCAAGTGTGCTCAAAGTGACGCCAATATGGCGGTCAGCTCAGGCCTAAACTGCCTAAAGGTGCAATCCTGATTGGCTACAGCTGTCAACTTTTCCCCCCACTACGTCGAAAAGTCACGTAAAATTGCATCTTTAGGCCTGAGCTGACCGCCATATTGGCGTCATTTCGAGCACGTTTTATTCCACGAGTGTCCCGATCTGTGTATAAAGCCTGCTGCAGACGATGCTATTTTTCCTGCTGGATTGCTTGCGATTTAA